GCCAGATTCTGGAAGTTTTTGTGTCTGGTGTTGCAGTTTGAGATCTTGGATTGGGCAATGCTGCTTTACATGATTTTTTTTTGGTCAGCTGTGTGTCTCGACACATATGGAAACTCATCACCATGCTCAAGAGTATCCAAACCAAACTGAGTTTCATGCGTCCCAACTGACATGGAAATTCCAGAAATATTTATTGGAATGGAATGCTCACTTTCCTTGGAGGGAAGCCCTATTGCAGATACAGCCAGTGTGGGTAATTGGGCAGCACACAAATTGTAAACACCAGTTTACCTAATCCTGGGGAGTAATGGATGCAGGTTGGCAAGAGCCAAGGCCTGGGGACCCCAGCGTGTGCATTGGGATAACTGCTGAATTGTAACCAGCTAAAACCACATAGCTTGCCACTGTTTGGAAAGTTTTTGTCCACCTAGGACCACCATACCATTTAGGGCTTTGGGCTGCAGGGCTAACGGGAGTTGAATGGAAAAAGTTTCTTCCCCCAGTGACGAGTCTGCCCTTCCAAGTCCTGCAGATGAGCCAGGCTGACTGCATAGTTTTAAGTTGATACCCTGAAAAATGGCATCTGAATGTGTACTCCCACTTTGGAAACAGTGGGCTTGCTGATTGAGAATCCTTAATCGTAGCTCTAAGCCTTTTAGCCAGCTTTGGATGGTACCGTTATTCAGAAGGGGAAAGAGGCATATTTTAAAATCTGTTTACTTTTTTTTAGCAAGGAACGGAATGTATTTTGGAATATAGAAATTGTGACCCCGACAATTTGAATAGAAGTATTGTCCTGTTATTTAGCATTCCTTCCTTTTCCATGAAGATATTCCTGACCTCTATGAGCCGTTCCACTGGCTCACAGTGGAATGGTTAAAATCAGGTGTTCAACTATGTGAGAAATTGTGGGTGCAGACTTGCATCACAGTGCCATGTTGAAGCATTCCTTATCTCTTGAGGAATTTAGTACTTGCGATTTTGACACCTAACAAAAACGTTAATAGCACTGCTTCACAATGTACATTGATGCACTAGTGTGGAAAAACAGGATTCCTTGCTCTAATGTGAACATCATTAGGGCAACTAATAGGAAATAAAGCAGATACATGAAGCATAAACAGGTAATTGGGAATTATTACGACTGCTAGTAGATATGAATGAGCAAAGAATTGTCTGATCAGGAGATGCAGCTCAGGATGAAGGAAAGTATTGCACATACGTATTACAAAAAGGATCACATAGGTGGGGAAGGCATCTAGTGAAGGAAAATCTGAACTGCTCTTCAGATGTGAAATGCTTAAGGAAGCTGTGGAGATGTAATAAAATCCTTGCATTTGAAATAGTGCCTTATTATGTCGTTGAGATGCCTCAAAGAGCTTCACAGAATATATTGTAAAGTGAATTAATGATATTTTGTGGGCGAATCGCGGCAGCCAATTGCACACAGCAGTGTCCCACAAACAGTCGTGGATTGAGCGACCAAATCATTTTATTTGTTTATGGGATTATTACCCCCAGAAAGCGATCTGCAAATTGACTAACAACCAGGTTCCTACTTACTGCTAGATGAACAGAGCCATGTGTAGTAAGGAAACGTGCCTAGCAACAACAACTAGCATGTAAATAGTGCCCTTCATGCAGAGAGCTTGACAGTTACTGAGTCTGATGCTGAGTCAGGGGGAAAGGGAGGGGAGAGGTGACCGTAAGCAGGTTCAAAAAGGAAGGTCTTTAGGCATGATTTGAAGGTGGGGACAGAGGGGGCAAGATGGAGAGATTGAGGGAGAGAGTTCCAGAATTTCGGGGCATAGTGGCTGAAAGCACAGCCACCAATGGTGGAACGGAGGGACATTAAAATCTTACCCATTAATAAGCAGACACAAAACATTTGTGTCTGCTTGTTACTGACTCGCTGACCAAGTATTTATTCTTAATACTCTTCCAGTATAAAAGCATTAATGTATTGCTATTTACCATAACATAACCCTTCATGACCATGGAGACAACTGTCACATCACCCTTTCATCACTTTCTCAGCTCCAGTGAAAATATGGGAACCATGGACAACTTCCACCTGGGTCAGAATGTAAAGTGTTAACTTTTCTCTACATCAATGAATAGTCATCTTTCAACTTTATATATTTCTTTGAAGTTGTAATGACTACAGAATACTGTACTCCCAGTGTAATTTAAAAGACGTTTTCCAAAATAAGGGAGTCATATTACTGCTCCTGATAATACTTTTCCACAGTAGTTCGGTATTGATAATATTGTCCATAAATAAATTATATGGTATGTGTCCTCCCAGGCTATGTTTCTTGCAAATTTAAGATTATTTAATGTTGTCCTTATTAAATGCAGCTGCATAACTAACTTTCAATGACTGGATTGATATCCAACTGGTGTTCAGTTTGGCTAGCTTATTTGATGCTGATGACTACCTCACTAACATTGGCATAGCTTGTAAATCGACTGTTCACCGAGCACCAGACTGTCACCTTGGAGATTGGTTTAGGGATCATGGGGTCAGCTATATACACCATTTTTGCAGGTCACCCAAATGCACTGCCGATGTGAAAGCACATGTGATGATGTCATAAATGTTTCGTTTTTTTGTTGTGTGATATGACAACATCCTTCAGGTCATCTGTATTACACGCTGGATCCTCCAAGGAACACGGACCAACAGTAAAATAAAGAGATTGTAGAACAGTGTGGCACCTGACAATCAAGTGCAGCTCTTTGGCTTCAACTGCTTTTATTTTGCTCTTGGCCCAGTTCCATAGAATTCCAGTAAGCTTGGCAAAGCAATTTCTTTATGCCTCTTTATGTATTTTATGCATGTTATTTTAGACATTCCTTCCTCTGCTCCTTTTTTTTTAACCTCAATTGCTGCCCCTCACCAACATACACGCCCACAAACTGTCTAAAACACAGCATGTTCCTATATCAGGTGATCCTACACTCTCAGTTTGAATTGCAGATTTTTAACACACTATTTTTAACCCAACACTGACTGCGTATTATTCCTCCTTTCCTGAAGCTCACCTTGCTCTTTCAAAAAGTACCTGGAGCACTGACCTATATGTGCGGAGGTACTACTTTTAGGGTAAAGTTATAGGAGTACTGTAGTATTAAATTGCTCTTAAGGTTTGTTGATTTTTTTTAGCTCCCCTAAACATTTAACCGATCCATTATTAAATGTAAACTCTTTCCGACTGCAACAACAACTTGATTTGTAAATTTCAGTCATTCGGTTGTAATGCGAGTTGGCATTAGAAACTGAAGTGAGACTCTGTAAGTTTACAAGTCCAATTCCTACCAATTTATGGAAATTTTGTTTTTCCACAACACTTGCACAAAGGAATTTTTTCCTCCCTCTCTCAAATTGGACTTCTTATGTTCAAGCTGTATTTGAAGCATTATTGTGGTGTTTCATACAAATAAAATAACAACAACAAAATTACATTTGTAAAGCGCCTTTCACGTCGGGAGGATGTCCCAAGGCGCTGGACAGACAGAGTTACGGAGTAACTTTCCCACTGAAGAGACGTTGACCTGAATCTTGATGATGGTGTCAAGGCTAATTGTTACTGACCCCTAAGTGGCTGAAACAGCTAAAATCAAACCTGTCTTTAATAGCAGCTCTGCTACTGAACCAAAGTTGCCTTTAGATAACTTTGAGTAAGGGTTATAATAATAATAATAATAATAATCCTTGCATTTGATATAGCGCTTTTCACGTTTGTTTGTTTGTTTGTTTATTGTTGATGTGGGAATCGGGCTGTTCCAGAGTGGATGTTAACAGAGGGTAGTTGCTTGAATATGATTGACTGAACTTGCATTGAAGACACTACCCTGTAAATGCTATAAAGGGGAAAGATTCTGTTGAATTTGTTGAGGGCTGGGCACAGATTGGCTACTTGCCTTCAGGGGCACACAATGATGCATGGGAAAGAGCTGAGAACAAACTACCAAGTAAGCATCAGCAGATTCAGGATTTTCCCATCGCTTCAACACTGCACAAATCTCTGTTACTCTTATTTACCCTTGGCACAGCTCTTATATCCGTTGTAGAACATTGTGTGCTTCTGTTAACTACAAAGTGATAATTTGCACCTGCAAATTACGAGGAATGAAATGTTGAGTTGAGGCCACAAAAAGAATTGTATTCCTGCAGGCTTTGGACACTTGCCTATGTGTGATTTTGTCAGATGTTGATTGACCAGCTCGTAATTATCTTCTTTGTGGCAGAGGTGAGCACAGTCTCCTTGGGGCTGAGCTGGCTCCAAGTTGACCTGCTTGGCAATGGAACCCTCTGGTTGTTCAGTTCCTAAGACAGTTGGGTCCTCAGTACTTCAATACACGGTTGACCAAGGACCAGCCAGCCTGGATTGTGGGCAGACCTTGGAGTAGAAACAAGTCACTGGGAGCAGAGATTCTTCCTACCTGATTTGTTAATGCTACAAATCTTAAGACCAACGATCAGGCTGGACAAGCAGAGCGAAGCTTGCCAGATTGTACCTGCAATGGTTACCTTAACTGGCTAAGTTTCAACAGTGCCTCAACGCGTACTCTGGGGTCCCCAAGTTTTGGTCTCGTCGGCCTGTGCCTAACACTTTCAGAAATTAGGCATACAAGGTGCATTCCTCCGGGGCAGGAAAGTAGATTCTAACCAAAGAGAAATCTCCATCTACAGGTAGCATGCACATGTCTGATCTGGATACTCAACATGGTAATGGGTTTCCGTGTGTGTTAAGACACCTAACTGAGCAAAAAAATTTTGCTTGACGAAAAGATAATGACAGAAGAAACCTAACCATGACTGGGAGTAAGATGCATGGTTACAATGATTAGCTAGTTCTTGAACTTTTCACACCATCCCACTGAATCTTCTGCCGAGATTAGATTTTGTAGCTGTTTTGAAATTGGATAAAATTTGTCAAGGGCTTGTTTTGAGGGCAAATGGCTGCTAATCTCATCTTTCTACTTTCTTTCAGGGTTGTCAACTGCCAGAAAAAGTGAGAACAAAACAGTACTTTTTCTACTTCTTCCTCCATCTGCCACCCCTGAAAAAGTGTGCAGGAGCTCCCGTGCACACCTACATTCGGAGCTAAGCCAGCAGCAGGGAGCAATTGTTAACAAATCTGCATAGCAAAAGAACATAATTTTTACTAAGAATAATGACTGTACGTCGAGTTGGTGTTCTGGTATTTGGAGCCTATCTACTGCTAATTCTTCAGATCCAAGGTAAGCTTATAACTATTCCCCTTGATTGATCAGTTAGTGTCAGCTGCTATATAGTTTCAGTAGGAACATGCTTGACATGTGTCTTCTATTTGTGAAGAGAGAGGAGAAATGTAACTTTCAAAAGACGGACTGTTCCTGCATTTTATACAGTCAAACCTGTTTTTAGCAACCACTCGGGGCTGGAGTAAAGTGGCCTTTGTATCGGGGTGGCATCTGAGTAAGGGTTCATTGATTGGAACTGAACACTTTTTTTAAAATTTTCTGCGGCCCAAAAATTCCACAGGCCAGCATGTTGACTCCTGCTCGGCCTCCTGGTACTTTACCATCGCTGTCTCACCAGTGAAGCGGGAAGCTGTGGGCATCACATGGGCAGTCTAGCGAGAGTCAGCACTCGGTCGCGCGGAAATGGGTAATACATTACCGAACAATACACTTAAATTCACTGAGAACTGGCTGCTGAAAAGGGTCTTTACCTCGACAAGGCGTAAAAAAGAGTGGCCACTGGTTGCGTTGGACGGGTGGTTGCTGGGAACTATCCACTTTCAACGCTACTTCCAGAATTTGCATTTTGCAATATCCTCATCACAGCTATTATTATTATTAATAATCAATTGAACAAATCCAGAGGTCTTAGTTACCCAAAGAACTATTGGGAAGTTTTCATGATGAACACTACTAATGTCAAAATGGGAGCTTCACCCTTCCTATTTCAAAGCATTCTCAAGTGCTGCTTTCTCTTAAATATCAAACAGCTTGTTACCCTTACTTTTGCAATGAGAGTTCTTGCCCAGCCTTCATAGGGGTAGTGCCTCCACCCCTAATTATATTTTAACCTGTACATTTTAGTTATTCGATAATTTCAAATTCAAACTTTTTCCTTTGAGTATTTGAATGCATAGTTTTAGATTTGAATACCACAATATTTCAACACTTGCTTACAGAGTCAAACGAAAGGAAGGGTTACACGTGCAGTGTAAATAATATTTAAATTATGGTGTACTTCCTTTTGATCTTTTTAGGATCAAGTCAACATTATTACGGTGTAATATTTATGCCAGGGAAATTCAGAAGTAAAAGATCCTTGCCATAATTCTGTTTGCCCTTTTTTTTAGTGGTGGTATTTTTAATTTTCAGAGTGAAGCTCCTGTGGTGTTTATTATGAAAAATTGTCAATAGTTCTTTGGACTACTAGAGTCCAAATGTTTCAATTGCTTATTCAAAAAATAGCTGTGCTGAGGACATTGTGCAAATGTTGGTCTCTGTTTTGCTCCAAAATGCAAATTTCTCGAAGTACCTGAAGATCAGTCACTGCATATTTTGTGGGTGAAACACGGCAGCCAATTGTGCACAGCAGTGTCCCACAAACAATCGTGGATTGAGTGACCAAATTATTATTATTATATAAGATAAGTTCACTCTTTGATCGATCTTGGCTGCATTCTGTAACTACGTCTGCACGAAACACAAATGCTGTTTACATTTTCATGGATATCCCATCTCCTTCTGAGGTAGGACATTTAGCTTCTTGGCAGAGGACGCCTTTGCCAAAAACCTACTGGGGAGCTTTACCCTGGCTAAAAAATAATAATTATACTTAAATTTGAAGGCAAAAATTATACACCATAAAATAAATTTAGCATAGACAGATATCTGTCAATATACAGTTTGAAATGGAAATAGGTTAAAACTCATTATCATTCTGTCAAAATATAGCCTGAAGTGAATAGTTTTTTTTATTTTTAGCACCTATATTGTCAAAATAAATGCTAAAGTGTTTTTTTGCTGACATCAAAGTTCTATAAGATGAATGGCCAATTAATCTGGAGCGTTGTTGGCCAGAAACTCGGTTCTCATTTCATATCGTACCATAGAATCTTTAATATCCACCAGATGGGAGCTTGGTCTTTAGCATTTCATCCACATAACCACATCTGCAACAATGCAGCACACAAGTATTAGTGGAGAGTGAGCACAGATCAGTGCCAACCAAACTACAGCCCACTGGCCGGTTCCGGCCCTCGGGACCGTCAAGAGGTTGTCCCCGACATTCACGTTAACAAGGTAAATCTGTGTTTGATCGGTAGTGTGTTTCCAGGTTTTTCTTCATTTATGGCAATCAAGAACATTTATTTTGTTGACCAACCAAAAGATTGGCTACCATTGGACAATGTTTTGGTTGCCCAACAAAATAAGATCCAAGACTTAAAGCAAGACCTGAACCTATAAATGTCTGACTCAGAAGCATGAATGCTACTGTCTGAACTTAAATGCCAGCTAACGTCTAGTACGTTTTTGAGGGAAATAGAAAAGGGAGTGGTGACTAGTACTTAAAACAAGTTTACACAACACTTATAAACTTGTTTTCAAATACTTTGAGAATCTATTGATGTTGGGACCGAAAAATTGTTCCATTAACTCCGTTTGTTGAAAGTACATAAAAATAGTAACAGTCCAGTGGATTCTAGACTTCAATTTCTGCTTTGGAAAAACATGTGGCTGAATGCTGGTTTCTGCTGAAGCAGAGATGTATTGTGCTGTTAGGTTTCTAACTGCAGGAACCTCATACAGGAAGTCATTGGATTGATTGCTGGAGAGTTTATTTCTCTCCACACACTGGCTGCTTCCTGCGCACAACATACTCAGCAGCTCTTGGAGACAATACAAGCGGTTTTATTACATCCAGTTTCAAAAAACAGAACAAACATTAATCACTTGCAGGAAGTCATCATTTGGCTTCAGTAATTGTAAACATGGCTTATGAAATAACCAGACAACGCAGTGCCCTTCAGTGGAACTCAACAGAACAGTACGAACCTCAGTGAGAAGATGATGTCTGGTAGAAATTTTCTCTTGATCCTTAAACGATGTGTTCATGTCAAAGAAATTTAACAACTCAGATTTGTATAGCGTTTTTCATGTAAAAGAAATGTCTCAAAATACTTTACTGATGGAAGTGAATGTTATTAAGACAAAGACTGTTCAACCTCCAGCTGTCCTTCCTCCCACACATCTAGTTCCTAACTGAAACCACTTTCCTCTACCTCCGTCACATTGCCCGCCTCTGGCCATACCTCACCCACAATGCAACCGAAACTCTCGCCCACGCCTTTGCCACCTCCTGCCTCAACTACTCCAATGCCCTCCTCCCGGGCTCCCCAGCTCCACTCCCCACAAACTACAAATGATTCAGAACTCCGACGGCTGTATTCTCACCCAGACTAAGCTCCGTACACTCATCACAACAGTCCTCGCCAGGCTCCACTGGCTCCCAGTCACTGAATGGATTGATTTAAAGATCCTCTCACTCGTCTACACATCCTGTCACTCTCTTGCACCTCCCTACCTTTCTGACCTGATTTCTCCCCACTCCACTCTCCACTGCTTCTGCTTAGGTGGCTCTAGCCTTCTGTTTGTTTTTCGTCCCCTCTGCTCCATCATTGGCGGTTGCATTTTCAGCTACTACGCCCCAAAGCTTTGGTACTCTCTTCCTTCAAACCCTCCCCCTCCTTCCCTTCTTTTAGATTATGACTAAAGACCTTCCTCTTTGACCGTGGTTATGGTCACCTCCTCCCGGCTCAGGGTCAGGCTCTGCCATTGCTAAGCACTCAGAGACGCTTCCACGCATGAAGCATGCTAAATAAATTAAAGTTGTTGTAATTTGCACCAGCAAAGCCCTACATACAACAATGAATTTAAAATTTTGGGATGAATTTGAATGATGATGGAATATTAGCAAAGATAACCAAGAGGAAATGACTTTACTTTTCAGTTAGACATAAAAGGCTGAGGGATTCTTTCATATTTAACTCACACGATGCAGATAGGGCCTGATTCAATGAAACAATCGAAAAATGGATGGTGATTGATAAACGAATAACCAGAAATTGACTTGTTACTATAATTTTATACATTGAATGGAGAAATCCTGTTTATACTTCATTAATATGAAAGTATACTGGAAGGTCATTATCAAAACATTTATTTTCTTAAATACCTTAAAAATTAGAATTGCAGATGATAGATGAAAATAAGGAAAGGAAGAATAAAACGTATTTGTGTGGCCCTAAGACACAGTTAGTCATTACACAGGTCGATAACCAGGATATTTGCTTGCAAACTGATTGCCAGGCTGTTTCTTAATTTCTGCTGCAGATGTTTTGGGGAGGGTTGTTCCCAAATGCATGTTTGAGATTTCAGAAAGTATGAAAAACAGATTAATTCTGTGTGATTGACTGGTGAGGTGTATAGCACATTCAGGTGGCAATAAAGCAGTATTATTATTATTATTGTTCAGCACTACTTTTATTAAGAATTTGCTTCCTGAAATGGTTACTATATTTTTCAGAGTTAATGTAAAGATCTTAGCTAGTGTATTGAGTTGCTGGAGTTTAATCAGTGCTCCCTATCCTGTATTTTATCTAGCAACTTATCACATTGTTAAGAGCTCTCAAAGCATTTCACAAGATTTTAAGACTGCTAAGTCAGTCCAGAACTTTGGGGTCTTGTTTGACCCTCAGCTATGCTTTCTACCCCACATCTGCGCCATGAACCGCTCTGCCTTCCCCCACCTCCGCAACGTCGCCCGGCTCCGACGCTGTCGCACACTGCAGGCCACCGAAACCCTCATACGCGCCTTCATTACATCGAGGCTCGACTATGCAAACTTACTGCTTGTCAGCCTCCCAAACTCCTCCTTCCACAGGCTGCAGATCATCCAGAACTCTGCAGCCTGTGTCCTCTCCCGCACTAGGCTCTGCGACCCTATCACTCCCATCCTTGCCCAACTCCACTGGCTTTCCATCATACAGAAGATACAGTTCAAGATCCTGGTCCTCACCTTCAAAGCTCTCCACGGTCTTGCTCCCCCCTAGCGCTCCAACCTCCTAATCCCGTTCGCTCCCTCCGATCAGCGGGCTCCAGCCTGCTACACGTTCCCGCCTTGCTCACCCCACTATCGGCGGTCGGGCCCTCCGCCACTCTGCATCCACCCTCTGGAACTCCAGCCTGCTGCCCCTCCGTCTCGCCCTCTCCCTTGTCACCTTCAAGACCACTCTTCGACTGTGCTTTCAATCTCCCTGCTTCCCCCCCTGCCTTCCACCCTCCCTCCTCCCCCCCACCCCCACCCCCCCCACACCCCAACCCCCAGCTCAGGTCCGTAACTCTGTCTGTCCAGCGCCTTGGGACATCCTTCCGACATGAAAGGCGCAATACAAATGTAATTTTGTTGTTGTTGTTTACTATCCAGTCTAGTGATTTGACTGTTTATAGGTGAACGCAGCAGCCACTTTGCGCACAGCAAAGTCCTTTTTCCATGGAGAACATTGTATGGCAAGCTTCTCGCTACTTGTCCAGCTAGGACCACCTACCTAGTAGGGTTTTGGCTTGAATATACAATATAAAGGCAATACACTTTATATTTATGTATCATCTTTCACATCAGGAGCATATCTCAATAGATGCTGAGTGGAAAGAGTTTCTGGCATAAAAAGCAGTAAACTTTCAGGGCAATTTGTGCTCACCTTCCTCAGCGGTTGATTGAAGAAAAAGCTCAAATGGAGGAGCTGACAGCTACAGGCTTTATATTTTTTAAAAAAGCCATTTTTTGGCCCAGAACCAGTGATACCAGTGTGTATCTGACATTACGCTGTCCACATTTATGGAACCTTGACTGCACCTTTAACAGAACGTTTCTAACAAGGTAACAGTAGCAGAGGCCAAGAGCTGTGCCGAATATCGGCGACATTTTTCTTGCTTACTGATTTCCAGTACTGTTCTGTTGGATGTTCATTTCATCTCTGGCTCTGCACCTGTGCAGAATATATATCATTGAGTCACATCAAACCCAGCCTGGTCAGAGCTGCCTGCCACTGCTCTGTTAGTTGACCCACATGCATGGGAACCTTGGTGATTCTCAATTTGTTCAGCTCTCCGTCTAAACAACATCAATGGAAGCCAGCATATTAAGCCAAGAGTGAAATCGTCTGAGCTTTAGAGGCATTTCTTGGTGAGCACTACTATTTGGGCAGGGAGCAAATAGGTTAAAATCTTTGTTGATTCCCTGTGATATCCGGTGGGTGTGGGGACATCACTAATGACATAATAAACTGGACCATGTCCAGAACTGAAGCTAAATCGTTTTTGGAAAAACAAAGCAGCGGCTGCACAAAGAACTATAATGAAGAATAGCACCTACCTCCATTCTTTGTGCAGCAAACAATATAGCCTGACCCAATTCTAGGTTGAGGATGTTATAGGGTGAATTATTCAGGTCACCTTTCTCCCAACCACCTTCCTGAATAAAGGTACTGGTTGATGGTTGCCTTGGGGATACAAAAAAGTGAGGGGAAAACTAGCAAAATTGTCAATGCTCCAATTAGTTATCTTTCTGATGTCGCTCTGCTCTAATAAACATTTTGTTCCTATATTACAGGTCAGAATCCTGATAGCATGCTCATGGGAACAGGCATGAAAGCAAATGGTGCCACAGTTGCTCCTGAAGATGCAGAGCCAAGTCTTCATTGTTTCTGTTCTGGTCACTGTGCCACTGATGAAGGCAACAACACATGCATGTGAGTTACTGGTCCTCATGTATGGGAACTAAGTCAGCTCAACAATAAGAACTGTGTGAAACTCTCAAAATAAAACTAACATAAGCATGGTAAAAACGAAGGTGGGTTTGTGAGGATTTAAAATCTTCTAATTTGTTCTGCCTCCTAGATGCAGTCTCCAAATGCATTACTCCAACAGGGAATTCTTTGCATTTGATATTACGTTCTTCTTGCAGAATTATTATGTCTCTAATTGAGGTTTTTAAAATAATAAAGGGATTTAATAGGGTAGATACAGATACGGAGAAATGTATTTCCTCTGGTAGGTGAATCCAGAATAAGGGGGCCTAATCTTAAAATTCAAACAAGGCCAATTAGGAGGGAACTCTGAGTTTTTCACCCAAAGGGTAGTGGAAATCTGGAACTCTTTTGCCCCAAAAGGCTGTGAATGCTGGATCCATTCAAATTTTCAAGACTGAGGTGGATAGATATTTGTTAGGGAGGGATATCAAGAAGTATGGGGCAAGGGAGGTAATTGGAGTTAAGGTATAGATCAACCATGATCTTGTAGAATGGAGGAACAGGCTCAAGGGCTGAATGGCCTACTTTATGTTCTCTATATTAACATAGGCTCTGTATTAACATTGTTGTGCAATTCACTCTCATTCCCACTTTGGAGCAGATTCTGGTGACAGGATAGAAATAAGTATAAGTTTTTCATTTGGAAGGTACAAATTCTGCTAATTTTCTCTTGCCCATGTATCTGGAAAGGTCTGTTGTCACCCAAAAATGTACATTTGTTGCCTCCAGAGGCACCAAAAAAGATGAACTGAGTATGTGAAAGGTGGTCTGTGTTAGATGAAAAGTAAGGTGAAGAAGTGGTGTGATTGGGTGGAATTGCAGAACATTAGGCATGTAGAGAAGAGAGAAGGAATGTTTTAATAAGATGGTTTGGGGGGTGCTGTTGACGGAGGTGTTGCAAGCCAAGTGTTGCATAAATGGAGTAATATTGCATGTGAACTTGTTTACAAACTCACTGGTATTTATGGCAGTAAATCAGTGAACTGTAAAAACAACTGCATCCCACTGTGTTCTATGGATGTGAGTAGGCCCAACTTTGATTACTTTCTTCCTAACCCAGCTTCCCTATAGAGAGTAGAAATAACTTGCATTTTCATAGCAATGTATCGCATTCAAACATCTTAAGGAGCTGCACATGTAACTGTGACGTTCAGTGCCTTTTTTTCTTGCCCGTGGCAGTTAATATAGGGTAAGGAATGAATCTGCGGATTTGGCTGTCATCGTGACATCCTAGACTGTTTAAACGATCACACTGACATCCCACTTAAATAATTATTTTAAAGAGCTTTTCCACTGCACTCTGGCTAAGTACATTCTTGCAGTGACTCATTCCGCTTAATACCCTTTGGTGTGTGGCCATCTGGTGGACAATGTAGGAGGCTGCTGTGTTGTTTTTAAAAGGGTCATTAAAATTGTTTTTTATTCACAAAACAAAAACTCATGGGGTTCTGTTTTTTCCTATCAAAGAAACTAGAAAACATTGTGTGTGGGGGGGATTTTTCTTTTCTAAAAAAAGGTAAATTCAGTGAAAGTTGTGTTTTTTAAAAAAAACAGCAAATTACATTTGTATAGCACCTTTCACGTCGGAAGGACTTCCCAAGGTGCTGAAATGTTCACTTACCTCTCACATTGAGTGTATTCACAGGCTACAGTTGTTGCAGGGTGAAAATCGTAAAAGACGACTTTTTAAAGTCATTTATAACGTTGGCAATAAAATGCATTCTTGCAGCTGAATGAAGCACACAGGTGGAATCTTTTGCATTAAGTAATAGGGAAAGGCTGAAAGAACATAAAGATAGTTTGTTATGCGTGCATAGGAATATAGAGAACACATTAAATAATGTATAGCACATTGTGCATCCTGACCAACATGTTTCAGCAATGGCCATTTCCTCATTCGCTCTAGCCAAAGCCTTAGCAGGAAGGTAATCTGTTCTGACAAAGGGTCGCGGACCCAAAACGTTGACTCACTTTCCTTTCTCCATAGATGCTGCCTGACCTGCTGAGTGTTCCCAGCGACCTCTGTTTTTGTTTCAGATTTCCATCCTCTGCAGTATTTTGCGTTTTGCATGGAATTTTCCGTATTGGTTTGGATATTCTTAAGCACGGTGATGGATTTCTGCATGTGTCAGACACCCGGATGACCAAAAAAATCTATCCTTCTCTCCCTTCTTCCTCTCCTCTCTCTTCCCCCACAGAAATTCTCAACATTTGAAGATCGTGTACTTAAGAATTTGCCCAGTGCTTCCCCATCCTCGCTGGGCACAATAGTTTTGGGTGTTTTATACTTAATCATGAAGTGTCAGCTATTAGAATGCTGGCTGGCAGAACTACACTTAATTTCAATTGTCCTGGTATTGACTTTGAGCCCTGCTGATAAAATGTTTCTGTTACAACAGGACAAATGGAAACTGCTTTGCCATCATTGAAGAGGACGAAAATGGAGACATTACGTTGGGCTCTGGCTGTATGAGGTTAGAAGGAGCAGATTTTCAGTGCAAGGTAAGACCAACATTGTGCAGCAAAGATACAAATTACAATTTAGTTTTACATTTATGTAGCATCTTTCATGTTGGGAGGTGAAACAATCAAACAACCTGCATTGCATTCTCTTGTAATGTCCTGTAAATTAAAACAGAAATTGGCAACTAGAAGAGTGCTGGTAATAGTCTCCTCTAAGTCTGAGCCCCACATTTGATCCTTTTATCTCATATAATCTAGACTGAGGCTCCAGTGCAGTGCTGGAGATATGTGCTGTATTATTGAAGGTGCTGACCTTTAAATTGAGTCCTTGCATGTCCCTTCAGTTAGACATTAAAAATCCTATCGCACTATTTGAAGCATCGGGAGTTTTTCCTGGTGCCCTAATCAACTGCATTTATATAGCACTCTTCACAGGATAGGTCTCGGATCACTTGACAATCCCACAGATATAGTTAGTCATTTACTTCATGGCTGTTTGTGAAACATTGTGTGCACAAAATACATTCACTTTAGAGTGAAATCTTGTGAAGGATGCTTTGAGATGTCTTCCTGATGTGACGGGAACTTTATAAAATGCATGGATTATTATTTATTATCTACAAGCAAACATTATTATTAAAACAAGAATTGTAATAAAACTTTGTAAACCATGCGTTGAAACAATTGCTAGAGGTGTCAGTTCTCCAGCAGATCCTAAAACTCGCTTTAGGCAGGAAACAGGACTCATTATATAAATGGAAAAGCTCTGCCCCTGAGGCTGTTTTTCTCTCGGCAGGGTCCACAGGCTTTTTCCACCAAGGTCAAAAGCGGAAGCCTTTGAGACATTAGATGGTGCAGAGATCACAGTCTCTCCCTAGAGAATATTATGAGTACTGATTCCCAGAAATAATAGATACAAGTTGCCAAGAGCCGAGGCTTGGGGACCCCAGAATGCACTGCTTGTTCAGCTAATCTCTGTCCCTCACATTGGGTGACTAAGACTGCTCTTCTAGCTTTGTTTGTCTCTGCTCCTACCTTACTTTCTAAATGCTGCGAAACCCATTATGCACTTCTTCCTCACCACCTGGCTGGATTTTTCTAATGCACTCTTCACTGGTCTCATAAAGTTGCATATAAAGTGTAAGCGTGATCCTACAACAACAACTTGCATTTATATGAAACTCCGTTAGGGTTTTGGCTTACAGTTACATAGCTGACTGGGAAGAATCCCTGCTCCCAGTGGCTGGCCTGGCTTCCAAGGCCAACTGATGAGTTAGGCTGGCTGGGTGGCCTGCCTTCAAGCTTACCCAGGATTACTGTAGACCCACCCGGCTCAGGAACCAAAATAGATTGTCCCAGAGGGTTGTCTCAGTTCTGACATTCCATTGCTGATAGTCACTGGTTGGTCATTTAATATCCAACAAATGTAGATTGCAGATTTGAGCCCTCATTTGTGGATAGCTGAGTCAGAAGGTTATGGGTTCAAGCTCCACATTGGCATCTTGAACTCACAGTCTAGACTGACACTCAAGTGCAATGCTATGGGAGAGCTGGATTGTTGGAGATGCTGTTCTTCGGATGAGATATTAAACAGAGGCCCATCTGCCTGTTCAGGTGGACATTTAAAATTCCATGGCACTGTTCAAAAAGAGAAGGGAGTTTCCTCCGATGCACTGACCAAAAATCCCCTAAATGTTTTTTTTTACGCGTCTTCTCTTTAAATCTGATCTGCAGGGGACCTTATTTTTTGGAAATGTCTAGAACAGGGTGGCCAAAAAACAGCTCCCTGACCACTTGATCAGTCGTGTGTTTTCAGTTTTTTTGATTGATTAATGGCATAAATCAAGAAATATTCAATCCAAATTTATTTTGTTGGCCAGCCATAAAGGTTGGCTACTACTGGCCTAGAATAAATGATTTAGCCTCTCATTTGTACAGTACTCGGTGTCCATAATCCCAGAATGTGTAGCAAGACTGTAAAACTCCTTGAACTCCTTCCTCTGATTCATAAAAATACAGAAAGAACAGCTTGGAATTCAAGATAGACAAGATAAACAGGCTGATTTCTAAAAAAAACCTTCCCACTCTGATATTTGTTTTTACATTCGTGCAATGTCCCACTTACAAACAGCAGGACCTAATTAAGCTAAAATCAATATAAATTCTCTGGCTGAGGCCTTCTGGAAGTGAATGATTGTGAAACCACAATTTTAAAATGGACTAAAAATGTTTTCCTTCTCTTCTCCCCCCAGCCATCACCACTACCATAAAGAAAAAATGTCTTCTAGTATGGACACACAGAATGTATTTCTCTGTAAACAAAATGGTCACTCAATCCATGACTGTTTATGGGATATTGCTGGGCTCAATTGACCGTTGTGTTTCGCCCACAAAACGTACAGTCAATTCACTTACAGTAAGTTCTGTGAAGCGTTTTGAGACATTTCAGCGACATGATTAGGTGCTATATCACGTACCACGATTATTATTATCTTAGATTGCACTTTGAGACATCCTCATAACCACACAAGAAATGAGGAGAAATGTGATGTTAAAAGTTCCTGAAAAGTCCATGTGTGATCTGTATTGGACCAGGGACAGAGAAATCTTGCTGAATAATAATAATCCTTGCATTTGATATAGCGCCTTATCGCATGTTCGAGAAGTCTCAAAGTGCTTCACAGAATATTCTGTAAAGTGAAACAAAAACAGAGAGAGCTGGGAAAACTCAGCCGGTCAGGTAGCATCTATGGAGAAAGGAACGTGAGTCAACGTTTCGGGTCCACGACCACAAACAGTCCATGACCCTTCGTCACTTTCCTTTCTCCATAGTTGCTGCCTGACCTGCTGCGTTTTCCCAATTCTCTCCGTTGTTGTTTCAGATTCCAGCATCTTCAGTATTTTGTGTTTTGATACTGTAAAGTGAATTGTCTGTATATTTTGTGGGCGAAACCCGGCAGTCAATTACGCACAGCAGTGTCCCACAAACAGTCATGGATTGAAGTGAGACAGTCGTGAGACTGAAGCAGTCTCAATTTATTGTTATTATTTTTGAAGGAATTATTACCCCCGGAAAAGTGATCGACTAACAATCGGATTCCTACTTACTGCTAGGTAAACAAGAGGCGTGTGGAGTAAGGAAACTTGCCCGACGGTTCGCCCTGCAGGGAATCAAACCCAGGTCTCTCGCTTGCGAGGGGAGTGCTCTAACCACTGAGCTGAATAGTTCAGCATGTAGTCTTAGTCGTGTACTTTGCTTATTTTCTGTTCCTCAAGTATCTGATAATTTAGTTGTTGGTTTAGCTGGATAATTGTTGGGTATTGTTACAAACGCCATCCATTGCATACATTTTATAACCACTTGATCCAGTCCTTCTGCAGACACAGGGATAAGTGACTTCAATCTGATATTTTAAGTATCTGAGTTTAGCATATATTAATAGATATTTCCCTGTAATGTCTTTATAAATGTATTTTAAAATATGTGTTTCTTCAAGTTGGAATAGTAGTGCCTGGAGTTCTGTTGTGAGTGGCAGAACTCCACTGTAAAGCAAGGTTCTCAGCTGTAGGACTTCATTTTGAGCAGTTTGTATACATTAGTCCACCTGCGTTTCCAACATCAAAGGGTGGATAACTCAGCAGGCATCTTCATCAAGTCTCTATGCATTATACATTCTTGCCTTTATTTAACTGTACTTCACTGAAGCTGTAGCTTCTTGGTAATTGTGTTAAAATGTTTCAACTGTTCTTCTCAGTGCTATTTAATATTTTCTTTTAAAATGTCAAACGGGCACCATTATGGCATATATCGCTGGAAATTACCACCCATCATATGCACAGTGGTTTGTTCATGTGGTATTCCATTTTTACATCAAAAGGCATTTCAATACCAAGACATGTGGAACATCAGACAAAAGTTCCAGACAAGAATTTCTGAGTTAGTACTCTATTGTGTGTAGCACAAATTCTGGCTCATCACCAAATGAGAGTAAATGTCCTCCAGTTTATTCGTTACAACTCCTCAGGCTGTAGGAATTGATCCCCGATGCTTTCACTTAAGGAACACAAACCAATATACACAGGACCTTGTTACAATGCCTTTTAAATACCACTCAATCATTTATAAGGTGGCCCTACGCTAAATAGTCAGCGTCCTGTTTTAAAAATGGCTGAGTTCCAGCGTGTTGTGTTACTGTTGTCTCGCACATTACGTACATCAAAGCCACAAAACACCAGAAGAAAGCTCACATGTGCTCTTCAACTCTGTTTCTGTATGATTGCTGTGAGTAGAAAAAATTATATAGAATGACAGCAACTTGTATTTGTATAGAGCCCGTCACATAGAATAACGTCTTGGAGATATAGATATAAAACAGGAAATGCAAGAAGAAAATAGATTCTTTGGAAAAGTTGGGAGGTTTTCAGAATGTTTTGCGACATTGATTGTTAGCCTCCAAGCTTATATTATTAAGAACTTAAGTCTCACATAAACATTATAACAACAGCTGAAACATGATTAAGTTGGTGGTGTAGTCACAATTGACTGATGCTCCTTTCACTGTCTACGCCTTTCTTCTTCCTTGGCAATTTTAACTTGATCAAAATCATTAACTCCCTGCCTACATACAGATAGGCACAGTTTGACATAGATGTTATGTGCTATGGTTTGACCAAAAAGCACGCTTTTCTTGTGTCAGTCCCCAGTTCAGTTTTTTGTCATTATCTCTGCTATCCCTTCCCCCAATAAAGGTTTAAAAGAGATGGGAAGAAACGAGACTTATCATTCAATAGAATGAGGATTTCCTTCATTGAAATCTTTTATAATAATAATCCTTGCATTTGACATAGCGCCTTATCACATCGTTTAGATGTCTCAAAGCAATTCACAGAAATTTATCGTCAAGTTTGTGACTGTATTTGTAAAGGAAATGGGGCTGCTAATTTGTGCACAGCAATCTCCCACAAACAGTTATGATGTGAGCGACTAATTTTATCTGAGGGATTGTTGGCCACGACCCTGGGAGAAACTCCCTTTCCTTTTTGAGTAATGCCATGGGACCTTGAACATCCACTTAATAGACAGATGGGATTTCAGGTAACGTCGAAAGTATGACACTTCCCACAATGCAGAGTACCCCCAATACTGCAGTAGAAAAGCAAAATACTGCAAATGCTGGAAATCTAAAATGAAAACAGAAGTCGCTGGGAACACTTAGCAGGTCAGGCAGCATCTATGGAGAGAGGAAAATGGCACATCAGGTCGATGACCTTTTGTCAGAACTGCGTTAGAGTCTCAAACTAGACTGAGTTTAAGGTCCCGACGTCAGGTTTGAACCTGCAATTTTCTGACTTCAGACAAGAGTGCTATCAATTGAGCCAGGCTGCCACCATAATGGAGAATGAAGATGGTTTAGAAATGCACGAAGGATATGCAGTATTATACTATTTTAGATCTGGCATTATTCCGTTCTGCAAACATTAATGAAACCCTAGCGAAACATAAAATAACATAAATTTGCCTGGATTTCTTTATCTCCCTGCCTAGAAATATTTCACGTGTTAATACGTTCCTTTGTTTTCTGTAGGACTCAACAAAAGTGAAAAAGCGGAGAACTATCGAATGCTGCAAGACAGACTTCTGCAACAAGGATTTATACCCAACACTCGCTCCAACTGCTGAATCAGGTAAACTTGACTTCTCCATTTCTGGCAGTTTGAAACATTGTTGGATAATATTATTATGTTGCTAAATACTCATTACTATTGAAATGGTCTATTGAGGTCAGTATTAAAATGCATTGTTGAACAGAGGCTTAGTAGATTTAACCGTATAGAATTTATCATTATTGCAATATTAGCTCAGTCATTAGTAACGCAGCTATTGGGATTTGATGACAATTTGTAACTTTTGTCGTAAACAGAGCATATTGGATTTCCTGATGACGTGCACCGCTTAGGCCTGTTAATCTCGCTTATTGTCTGCATCTTTGTGCTGATCATCATCACGACTGCCTTCTACTTCAGGTCAGAACTGATCATTTATGCATTTATTGCTATCATTTTATTTCATTTTAGCTGCTGATACGTAAATGTACCCTAAACTGGTATCATCCAAGTAAACCTCCTCTGCAACCCTCCATCCCCTTGATGTCTTTTGTAAAATCGTGAGACCAATACAGCATGATACAGTATTCTAACTGAAGTTTAACAATTTGTAAAAGTTTAGCATTACTTCTTTTGTTTTATTTTCTAACCCCCTATTTATAAAACATAAGATTCCATTAAAACTTTTTTGACAGATTTGTCCACCTGCTTTCCAATCTTTGTTGTTCCTCGCAAGTGTGCGGTTTCAATCTCAGTCAACAATCCTCCAGATAAATTGGTCATTCCCTTATTGGTTGATTGTAGCAACTTGTGGCACCAATGGCTGCCCCATTGGCATTACACAAAATCATCATTCTTGAAGCGTAAAGTGTTCCTGTACCGACCTGAGAGTGAATAAACAAATATCAAAAGAAAATTAAGAGCTGTATGTTTTCTCTCAGGTACAAGTGGCAGGCAGAGAAGCGTCTCTACAGCCAGGACCCTGAACAGGATGTGGCATTCATTCCACCAGGGGAGTCGCTGAAGGACCTGATTGACCAATCACAGAGCTCAGGCAGTGGATCTGGACTCCCTCTACTGGTAAGTGTGCAAATTACACCCTTTCAAACCGGAATCATGGTTGCAAACTGATATGGGTCTCCAGGCAGTTGACCCGAATTACATTCCAATATCCCTTTCACCATTGTAGTCCTGAGATTCCATCACCGTCCTGACTGAGATCAACTAATAATGTCTCCCAAAGCATCAGACCCTTGACTTTCCCGATATGTTTGGCTCAGTTCCACACCACATGGTGCATTTATTCAGTAAGCCGCAGAAACAGTTTGTGGGCAGCCAGATAACAAACAAAATCAGCCAATAATTTACCTGCGTGGTTGTTTCTGATTGCAGAAATGTTATCAGCAGGTTACATTTACATGAGCATTACAGAGAATGTCTTGTGGAGTTGTTTCAGCCTCAACATTCACAGTCATTACCGGGGCCAATAGAAAATTGCAGAAATATTTGCCAAAAATTGCGGGGAAATGTTTCATAGCTTTTCAGAAAATTACGGGGCGTTGGTTGGTGCTATTGAACAGTACGTTTTATTTCCACTTTATTGATAAAAACTAAATCTGAAGAAATAACATTAGATTGTTGCCCCAAAAAATTCTTAATGCTTTCTTTAACAAAAACCGGAGGTGTGGAGGTATTAGTCCTGGTGCTCCAGGAGGTTACCATCTCCTGCCTCTCGGGGCCATCATAGAATCATTGTGGAAACATCACAGGAAATAAAAGAACATTCTTATCGATTGAGAAATAGGAGTTGTTAGTTCTTTGTAACTGTTCAGATGGCCTGCAGTGATCTTTTCTGGCCATATACATGTTGATGTTGCTGGCAAACACAGATTAGGTTATGTTTGGAATTTAGCTGCAGTATTTGATATCTCACAGCTGTCTGTGCTTTTTAGCGTGCTGTTTCGATCTCAGTTGTCAAAATTTATAAACCCAGAAATGCTACCTGTCCACATTCTAGTGTGGAGTGCCCAGAGCAAATCATCCCTCTTCTTAATTCCAGATTACAATTTGAGCAGCAGTGACTGTAAGAGACATGTGGTTATATATAGTTTTCCAATGACAATATCAAATAGTACTGCATTCAAAAATGCTGAGTATCTATTTATGAATATAGTGACACTAAGATGCTCATTAATAAACTATGATTTCTAACTTTTTATGATAATGTACCTGGAATTAATTCAAGGGTGAGTAACCAAACCTCCAGATTTAAACCAGTTGAACTTCACTCTCACAATTTATAAATTACTTAATCCTTTCTATTAGATTACATCCAAGCAGTACCTTGTATAAATATTCTATATTTAATATGCTGCCTGACACATTGAAATGGTGCAGTTTCACAATCCCATGGAAGGCTTTCATCTGCAAATGTAGTTCTCACATATTACTATGAAACAAACAGACCTTTGGTACTTCTGTGGGTTTTTATCTGTTTGCAGTGAGTATGGAGATTACTCTAGTGTTATTGGTATAAGTTTCTTAATACCTCTAGCTGCCTAATTGTTAACTGACTTACACATCCAAATAGCTGTAAAGGGCTACAGTAATACAATTCACCTGCTATTTAAACTGTGGAGTTTAACATGTTTTAGGCCCATAAAGTTGGAGCAGTTTTCTATACTTTTAAAAAAATATGATTAAGCACTTTTTATGCCCTTGTGGACTCCAAAGAAATTGATTTAGACTCCATGCAGTTAAAGAAGTCAGCCTGACTCGGTTGGTACCATTCTAATTTCTGAGTCAGAAAGTTGTGGATTCAAACCCCACGTCGGGATTTTAAATACACAATCTAAACAGACACTTCAGTGCAGTTCTTTGGGTGCTACATTGCAGGAGGTGCCATCTACCTGTTCGGTGGGGGGGTGGGGGGTTGTTAAAAGATCCCGTTGCACTGCTTGAAAAAGGAAAGGCGCTTCTCCAAGTTTCCTGACCAACTTTCCTCCTTTTTCCTTTGTTTGTAGGTCCAGCGTACGATTGCAAAGCAGATTCAGATGGTACGTCTCGTGGGGAAAGGCCGCTATGGTGAAGTATGGATGGGAAGGTGGCGCGGTGAGAAGGTAGCAGTGAAGGTCTTCCCTTCTGCTGAAGAAGCTAGTTGGTTCCGTGAGACCGAGATCTACCAGACTGTGCTAATGCGACATGAGAGCATTCTAGGTAAGCTGCCTCAACAGTGTGCTTAATGTGTGCCGCATACTGTTCTAGTACCTTTGGAAAGCTAAACAAGTCAAGCCGATTTACATGCTAACTCTATAATAATCATAACAATGCAATACATTTGCAGTTTCTTCCAGTGNTTTTTTTTGGGTACATTTATAGGTTAGTTTTTTTAGTTTCCTTTTATTTCTCCACCACTTCCCTGACGCACGATTTATGCTGGAGTTAAGATGCCCTCTCTTACCTTTCACTTGTGATTGTTCACATGTGCACCTAGATATAGCAATCGTTCTCGGGTTACTCAACCATGAGTATAAAAACATTGGAGGCAGACCCTGACATCCATTTTCTAGTGCAAGAGACTTGCCTTATCAACCTAACTCAGGATGCATTATAATCCTTACATTTGATATAGAGCCTTAGCACGTCGTTAAGACATTTCAAAGTGTAAAATTGGGTTCAAGCATTTGTCAGAAACCACACCAAGGATATCATTAAAATGTTTAATTAGGAATTATAAAGCCACACAAACATAAGTGTCACACCCGACGCATTATCATTAATCGTCGCGCTTAAATGACTACTAAAGCATTATCATAACAGGATACATTCAATACTAAAATTCTAAACATATATAAAAAACATTATGTTATATATGAAATGTGCATAATAATCTCTAATTGTTTTGTATGTACGTTGGGCGCATGTTTTAGTAAGTAGGAGAGATATTATCAAACAGGCAGGAATTTGTGACGAAGTTCTAAGGCTGGCACAAATAGTTAAGCACTATCTCTGGTGTGCTGCTGGCTGCAAGTGTCTCCGGCTTGCTTCTGGCTGCAAACGTCGCTTGGTAGTCCTCTCTGGCAAGAGCTGAACTTATCCTCTTTGCGATCCACTCAGGCGAGAGCTGGACTTGTCCTCTTTCCGCTCTTCTTCCTCTCCGTAGAGGTTCATCCCCTTCCTCTCATAGGCTCGAATATTTCTAAGTTTCGGCTAGCGTTTTTTATACCTTTTTTTGCCAGCCATCTGTATTCTATCTCCTTTCTTCTCATTATTTCTTTCTCTAATTGTCAGTTCTAAAACCCTGCTCTTTTGCCCCAGCTTTCTATTCCTCAGTTTTAACTGCTAATTTTGTATACCTGCCCACACAGTTGGCCTCCCATCCATTCTCCTAATCCAATTAACCCAGGTTCCTATCTCTCCTCCCCATCGGTTCACATGCCCTTGTAAGTGCAGATGGCCTACCATCTATCCTCCTGATCCAGCTAGCTTTATCTCACGTGGCCTTGGTCGCACTCCAGTATAGTCCTGCCTTGCTCGGTGTCTCTTTACTAGGACTGTGTGTGTGTGTGATGCATGCCACATGGTAGTTTTATTTCTTTAATTCATTCTACTTAATTCATCTATTCACTACATGATCAATGCTAATGATTCTTATACTATAATCCCAACTATTTACAAAAGTGCTTCATAGAATACACTGTAAAGTGAATTGACCGTATATTTGTGGGTGAAACGTGGCAGCCATTTGCGCTCAATAATGTCACCCAAACATTCATGGAGTGAGTGATCAATTTTTAATAAAACAAATTGAGGGATTATTACCCCTGGAAAGCGATCTGCCAATTGACTAACAAACAGTTTCCTACTTACTGCTGGGTAAACAGAGGCGTGTGAAGTAAGGGAACTTGCCTAAGGTTTTGCCCCGCTTGGGAATCGAACCCAGGTCCTCTCTCTTGCAAGGCAAGTTTGCTAATCGTTTTCCTCTTCGACCGTGCTTTCGATCTGCTTCCACCCCTACCCTCCACCCTCTTCCACTCCGACCCTCAGCTTGGGTCCATAACTCTGTCTGTCCAGCGCCTTGGGATGTCCTCCCGACGTGAAAGGCACTATACAAATGTAATTTTGTTGTTGTTGTACTATGGGACTTTTTGCTTGACAAGAAAATAATTTGTGCCGAGGGGAAGAAATTGTACAGTTTTGATGGTGCTTATGTACACGTGTGCTCTCTAATGCAAAACACAGATCTGGTCTGTATGAAGTTCGTTTAGTTTGGAGGCCTGCCATCAGCTCTCATTGGGCACATCAAGGTATCAAATTTTGGGATAGGCAGGGCTGTATAATATCTGTTTCCAGTGAATTAAAAGGCTCTAGATTATGGTAATCAATCGCTTTGAAGAGTTTCTGTTCATAGCAGCTCCATTCCTATATTAAGATGGTGTCCAGGTGGGATTGCTGGAGTGACTCATATACATTTTCCAACATTTCTGATTTGCCATCGTCTTTCCTTTGCATGTGCAAAGCCAAGGTTTGAAGTTTCACCTATTTCTCTTTCTTTTTAAAAACACAGGTTTCATTGCCGCTGACATTGAAGGTAAAGGCTCATCGACATGGCTGTACCTGATTACAGATTACCATGAGTGCGGTTCACTGTATGACTATGTGAAATGCACCGTGCTTGATACCAAAGCCCTCCTGAAGTTGGCATACTCGGCTGCTAGTGGTCTCTGTCACCTGCATACAGAAATCTACGGAACACAGGGCAAACCCGCCATAGCCCACCGTGACCTGAAGAGCAAAAACATTCTGGTGAAAAAGAACGGAACCTGTTGTATAGCTGACTTAGGCCTAACGGTGAAATTCAACAGGTATTGCTGATTTGCTTCTCAATGCAAACTGTTCTGCAATGCCCCATGTGTTACAGGTCTGACAGTAACTGGTCCATCTCTCCCAAATTGAAATAAATATGTCTGCAATCCGAGAGTCAAATTCCACATTTTCATTAAGAAAAATCAGACAGTAATGTTTCATCTAGACTGCAGATTTGTCAAGAAATTGAAGTGAATTCGGCACAATTCACGAAATCGTTATTAGCTGCGCGTACTAATTACCTCTTATCTCTTATTCCTTCACAGTGACACAAATGAAGTTGATATCCCACTGAACACCCGAGTGGGTACTAAGAGGTACATGGCACCTGAGGTGCTGGATGAGAGTCTGAACAAGAACCATTTCCAGGCCTACTTGATGGCAGATATTTACAGCTTTGGTCTGGTCATATGGGAGATGTCACGTCGTTGTATTACAGGCGGTACGTTAGTACATTTACCTTCACATGAGCTAGGGAGGCACCTTTCTCTGAACAGACAGCTGGAATTGTTGAGTGACTATCCTCCACACATCATTGCTGTGTCCGAGTCACATTGACTGTACATATATTCTGTTGGGGAGGGGTTAAATCACTGCCTTCAATGTGTGACACCTTCCAATCATTCTGAAAGGCTAAATCTGATCAAATCAGTTTAACTTGCCCACAAAAATTTGCTCTGATATAGCAACTTGTATGTTAGGATAACTGCTCAAAGCACTTCAAAGTTGGTGTGAATCACCAAGCATTGTGGAGGAGGTGGGGTTTTAGAATAGAACAATATTCACCAAAGGCACAGTCAGAGAGGTGTTTTTTGACGAGAGCTTTAAAGGTAGAGGAAAAGACCACCACCAGAGGGATTGTGGAAGAGTTCCAGGGTGATCATAGTGATGGAAAGGTAAAAGATGATGGTATGAGAGGTGAGCAGCAGGCTTGCCATAATAGAGATTTGTGTATACACTTTACCTATGAGTTCCCTGTGAAACTTATAGCATTAGGATGCAAATAAATTCATTTGTTGGGTCGCTTCTTGAATTCTTCACAGCCATGTTATATTACTGGAATTTTTTCTCCGAGTATATTAATCCTGCTTATGGTGACTCCACCTCTCTCCTGATATTTACTGTCTCTTTTCCCCTACAGGCATTGTTGAGGAATACCAGTTGCCATATTATGACATGGTGCCAAACGACCCATCATATGAGGACATGAGGGAAGTGACCTGTGTTAAATGTCTCCGTCCAACAGTTTCTAACAGGTGGAACAGTGATGAGGTGAGTCTTGCTCGCCATTGAGCGAGGAGTGTTGTGGTCTTGCAGTGCCTCGGTATAAGAATGTAAAGGATCCTAGATAACAGCTGAAATATATCGCATAGTACTTTTAGTTTAGATTACAAACAAGGTAAAGCTGTGTTATTGGGCTCCCATATTGATAAAACTACGTGAATGGACATTTAGGTTTTGCAGATCAGCAAGAGTAAAATGTGTTTTGTGAGTTTCAGAGAATTTTGGCAAATGGTTTCTGGAACCTTATAATAAAACCTAAGATTTTCGATCATTGGCAGATGTTATGACTTTCCATTCACTATCGTTCATGATTTGTGTCTGCAGACAAACTGCGTTTATAACAGGCCAGCAACAGAAAGTAACTTATTACAGAGTTTGTGGAGCGACTTGGGTGACCATATTAAGGCAATGGGGACGCCTATGGAATGGAACCAGACTCGCATTTTGCCATCTTAAACCTAGTTATGCTACAGGCAGGGCAGAGATTTTGTTCTGTTCGCATCAGGATAAACCAAGCTAGAATGAGATTCCCTCTGTTTGTACTGAGGCCCACCTCAGTGGCCTGTCTGTGTTCAGTTCGCAGTCTGCAGGAAACACCAGGAGGCTCGTTCATGAAGACTGAATTGGTTTGTCAGCTTGAGATGGGAGATCTGCTGTGAAAATATAATTGAAATAAAACAGTTATGCCTCTGCTATACAGTTTATTTCGCCTAAAAACTCTCAGTACCCACATTTACTTGGTAATAACGCAGTTAATGGGATTATTCATGTTGATAATGTCAATTAGTAACTATGTCTGCTTCAATACAACAATTTGCCTTTACATAGAGCAGCATTTTTGGCTCACTTTACAGAAGTGGTGCCGATACCAAGGGTGGGAGAGGAGGGAGGTGGCCACAGACGCAGTCAGACAGATAGGTTTTCAGAGTCTTTTAAAAACAGAGTGAGAGAGGACGCAAAGCAGAAGGATTTAGGGAGATAATTCCAGAGTTTTGAACTACTAACTGGATTACTATCTAGATATGTTACCATACTGTATATAGATTAGCACCTGGGATTGTATTGTATTGATTAGTGATTCAATCGAGAGAGACCTGTGGCCCCTTGGTCTAGTGTATCAACATAACATACCAGATTTCCTCCTTGATCAAAAGTGAGCTAAACAACACCAGCCTTTCGCATCGGTAGGACGCCCAAGGCGCTGAACAGTCGGGGATGAGAACCCGAGCGTGAGTGGGCAGGGAGGTAGGAGGGCGGCTGAAGGCACGGACGAAAAGGAGTGTCTTGAGTCGAGCCTTTAAAGAGGCAAGAGCGTGGGGTGGAGTTCCAAAGGGTGGGGGCAGAGTGGCTGTAAGCCTGGCTGCTGATGGTAGGGTGGGCAGGAGATATCGAGCAGGTCAGAGCTTGTTAAACGGAGGGAGCGGACAGGTTGATAGGGGGGGTCAGCAGGTCAGAGAGGTAGGAGGGGGCAAGACCGTAGAGGGCCTTGAAAGTGAGAACGAGGATTTTGAATTCTATCCTCTGAGGGATGGGGAGCCATTGGAGCCGCGTGAGGGTGGGGTTGGATGGGGGTTCACTGTGCCTGGTGCGGGAGAGGAGTAAAAACAACAATTTACAGTTTCATAGTGCCTTCCACATTAAGTGGATATCTTGAAGCACTTCACAATTTACTAGGAAAGAGGAAGTAAAACAGTAGACAAGTAATCCAGGACTGTTTATAGAGTGACATTTGTAGTACCACTGGGAGCAGAGAGAAGTTTGCTGATACCAAGAGATCTCTCACTTGGGAGGTGGTGAGAATAAAAAATCTGGAGATTAATTACCAAAGTTAATGGTTTTGTTTCAAATTATGGGAATTAATGTTTTGAAATCTATCTTTCACTCAAAGTTCCTCTCATTGCCTCCCTATATTTGTTTTTACAGTGTTTAAGAGCAGTCCTGAAGCTGATGTCAGAATGCTGGGCACACAACCCAGCCTCCCGATTGACTGCATTGAGAGTGAAGAAAACACTTGCCAAAATGGTGGAGTGTCAAGACATCAAGATCTGACCGATTGCTGGAACTGACTCTGTGTGACTCGTAATGGTCCCAAGGAGGGGCAGAGACTTCTGGTGTGTAGTTAGGCATTTGCTCGTCCCAACGCCATTACACACCACAATAGATAGGCTGCTAATGATGACCTTTTGAATTCAGAACTGTTTTGTTGACGGCGTAGTGTGGGAAGCCAGAACCTCTGGTAATGAGTCTCTATATCCGAGCTCCATGATAGACACAATCACATTTAAGAATAACCCTGCATAAATTATTGCTATTGTGGAGTTTCTTAAACTTCCTCAGGATTCCTACGTCTCACTGTTTCCATCGTGCTCTGTCTAAGGGCCACAGTTGAGAAATGATAACTGGCGGGGAACCTCTGCCACGGGAAGTCTGGGACTGGCACCCCACAGCCAGCAGATTGTGCTTTCTGTGAAAGCCTCGATTCTGAATGAATTTTGCAAACACTTTTTTTGAGAGGTTGATGCTCGCTTTCCGCCTGTTACTTTCAAACAGGGCCAGATAAAACCAACCCGCCTTCACCTACCACCGTGAGCCATGAGGATAACAGCAACTTCCCCCATAATGTCTGATATCGACTGGGGCATTCAGCGTTTGCTGCGACACAATTGGTTTGTGCTGGCACTAAGTACGAAAAAAACGGCAACATTTAACCCCTTGAATCCTGAAGATTCTCTGTTCATAAGCTTGTACTGACCATCGCTTTATCAGCCGTAAAGTGATTCATTCTTGCTTCTGGAAACAAAGGCCCTTTTCACTTTTTTTAATGTATTTAATTTTTCCTTTTGTTACCATCCACAGGCATCAGTTAGTGCACTTCCTTTTGCAGGGCTTGAATTGTGGTGCCTGCTTGCTGTCAGTCAAGCGTTGAACACGCTGACAGTATAATATTACCATAAACAGTCAGCATGTCAGCAATCCTGATTTTTTTTCTCTGGGAAAAGGACAAAAACATTTGTCAGACACTTACGTTAATTGTATTCTTTCAAACCTGCACTCAGCAGTAATATTCAATGAGTGACTTTTATCACTGCTGTCAGAAGCTAGCTTTTTTACACTATTTTATATTAAAGACCTATAATATTCGAGCACTCTTGTCAGTCCTCAGTGATGCTGGTCTATGTTTTGGTAATAAGAAGTGCGCTTGCTGTGGGGAAAATCTGCTTTCTTAGTAAATTTCACCACACATGAGAAAGTCTGATGCAAGGGTCAAAGCTGCTGCTCCACTAGTTCCTGGGGAGTTGGGGAGAAAGAGCGCTATATAGCGTAGTAGTGATGGTGCACTACTATATGGTATAGTAGTGATGGTGCACTAGTGATGGTTTACCATCTTTACTTCTACACAAGTGTAAAACACTTGATTCCCAAATGGCACAGGCACACATGCCTGTGAGTTATGAAACACACCGAATTGGTAACTCTTACTTACAATCAATATTGTGCTCTGTGGTCATTGTTTGGTTGGAATACATGGGGTTGAAATTCTGTTCCACCAAGTTATCACCAACTAGAAACAATCTATGTAAAGTATCACTGCCAGGGATTGCAAGCAATTCACCAAAAATAAATAATACTACTAATAATAAACCCGTAGAATAAAGAATAAGTACTGTTAAGATTTTTTCCCCTCACAGAGCTCCATGTCCTTTGTGTATTGGTTGTTGTTTCTGGCCCTTCAGTGGGTGTCGAAAAGCGAGTCTGAATGTCCTGTGACCCAGGAGAAAAGGAGAAGCTGTGAAGGTAGCATGATGTGTTGAATTAAGTTGAAACCATGTAACGTCAACCCTTGTGTATATTCTTTTCTTTTGCAAAAAATATTCATATATCAAATAATTAATCCTTGTTAATAGTTGGTTCTCTCGTTCGTGCCAGGATTCCAACTGCCATGATCTTGTAATATGTTATGTAACAATGTTGAGAGCTTGTGTATTATAGCTGACCTAGTCTTGCAATATTTGTTGTAAATATAACAGCCAAACGTGATGCTTCTCTTTGAGTGGGGAGAGTTAGAGATATATCATATCATGAAAAGGATTATTTTCAATGCACACCATGCACAATAGTGTCAATCATGGGCATCTGGGTTCAAGATTCTCATATTTCACTGACTTCAATGTGAAGTGTGATATTGCGCATCTTGTCCATTGATGCATACTGTTGTGTATTGTATGCTTTTAGTGCATGTAGGCCAAATGTTGTTGGAATATCACATTGGAGAAGGTGAATTTCCAATTTTCTTTCACAAGCATTAAGTCCCACTGTGAGAGAAAATATTAAATAATGTGTTGGCATGCTGTATTTTAATTTATTTTTTTAGTATGTGGTCTGGGCAGTAAATGTCACTTTTTAAGAAAGCTCTGTTGGTTTAGGATTGCTTTTATCATTCAGATTTGCTGCGGTAAGACACTCAAGTATTTCCAATTACTGTGGAATAATGAGCGGATTAATGCAGTCCTCAATTAGCTTTGGGGCAACCATGCAGTGTAGATATTTTCCCTACCCCATGTTATGAAGTAGTCAAGTCTATCTTCAACAACCTCTCAGGAGAACTGGGCCAAAGAGGCCTTTATATAATGGTGGCCTCTGAATAAGGGTTTGTTACATACTGACGTCCTCCTGACGTGAAAGGCGCTATACAAATGTAACTTGTTGGTTGTTAACACGGGATGGTTGCTTGAACAGGTTTGACTGTATAATGTATACAGGTCATCATTTTGACTTGCCTTCGTTCTTAAACCATTTGCCAGCATCATGTTGCAGAGGGTTGAGCTCAAAGGTAAACAGACATTTGATACAGAAGAGCAACATATGATAAGCAAAAATGTAGGAAAGTGATCTGTATTTTTTGACTGTGCAAAAGGACTTGTAATGTTTCTCTGTATATAAGAAGGGGGAGGCCCTGTATATATTATAAAGGATACAGTACTCTTGCCTTTCAAAGAAAATCATGTGAGCCAGAGGGATTTGTTTGAAAATGTTTTGTATAATTGTGCCTTTTTTGTCACAGCAGCCTACCTTTGTTTTATTTAAAGGGGGAGTGAGGGGAGCATGGGGATCTGCTAACTGCAGACCAGCATCAATCACCCTGCCCAATGTGTCAGTGTAGAGTAGACAGAAAAATGTACAAATCGATTATAGAATCATTTAGTTAGCATATTTGTACATAGCAAATGGACAGACAACAGAGGGTTACAGCAGAAACGTTACTTTACTCTAATGCTTATGTCATGTAAGAAAAACAAAATGATTACCTTCAAATGTAATGATTTATAAACCTATTTTGTACAGCATCTGCTAAAAGGTGCCTTATTAAGTTTACCACAGGTTGCTTTGCAAGAAGTACATTGTGTACACAGATTATGTCCTGTATCTGACTTTTAAGTAAATAACATTATTTTAGTACACAAATGCTCTGTCAGCTGTGCTATTTGTTTCCTCATTTGTTCTCTGTGTTTATACAGTGCCAACTGCTGCAGAGTGTTGGGTTCAAACGATTTTCACATCATACATAATATTTACTGATAATATGTATCACAATTCATACAGACTCAAAACATTAGTCCATAATGTATCATGTCCGTTAATTCAATTTGGTAAATTTTAAGTACAAATACACAATATTCAAAGTCGAGAGATTTACGAACCAAAGTAATATTTTAAAAACATTATATGTATATCAACATCTATATGATAATTTTCCATACATATCTGATCTTCCATTCCCTCCTTACTAAGCACAAAGTTCAGAGCTGGCTGGTTTACTAGTTTTTGTAGTACTGAACTCCAAATAATAATCCTTGCATTTGATATAACTACTTATCATGTCTTCGAGACGTCGCAAAGTGCTTCACAGAATGTAATGTAAAGTGAATTGACTATATATTTTGTGGTGAAAGCAGCAGCCAATTGTGTACAGCAGTCCCACGTGAATTGAGTGATCAAATTAATACATAAGACAGTGAGTGGCCACCATATGTACAAGCTCTCGGGTAGGAGTTTCCTTTTACAATGCTATAACTTGTAGTGAGAGCTATTTCCAGCAAAAGATCAGGTCCTGAAGGGAACGGCGAAGATGGTGAACCTGTTAATATATTTTGTTGGAAGTGTTTGTACTTTTCAGAACAAAAGCCTTAAAATGTCTTGAATAACAAAAATCCACCAAACGTTGTCTCAGGCGGATTCCGCAGTATTGCAGCCCCCTCTTTCACCTCTAACCACACTAGCTGGCCTTTATGGAGCTTCAGGATGGCATAGCCTCCAGTTGAGCTGACGTTGTGGTGTTTCTTTCTACTGTTTTGTACCGTGACTGTGTGGTTGCCATCAACCATCAGGGAAACCAGACCCGGGCCGGGAGCGAACTCCACAGTCAGAGCGAACACGTAGACGCCCGCTTGTGGAGCCCTGAAGTGACCGTCCTTCGGCAAGTACCCGTCTCCGTAGTTCAGGAAGATCTGGTCAAACTTCAAAATCCCGTTTATTTCTGAACTGTTGGAAAGTCCTACGAAGAATGCAGCTGGGGATTCTAAAGAATAAGAAATAAAATTAGAACCAAGAGGTTTAATTAGGAATTGCATATATGAGGGAAACAAAATCCCCATTAGATTATATCCCTTGTTCGCCTAGTGAGTAAAGGCATCACCAAACACTGATATAGACCAGAAAGGTTTGAATCAGGTCTGTGCTGAGTTAGCTGCCTCTGGGGTAGGGAGAGGGAGGAATAATACAGGGTTTCCCCTATTGTTATCCAGAGACCCTGGTAGAAAAGTCTTATGTTTGGTGAGCATAGGATGAGACTCAGCTGTCATACACCCATGTACTGAGCAGTTTGCCAATGGGCACTGTCTAGGCTCACCCATAAAGATTGGTCAGCTGGATGAAGTTGTGGAGGGTGGTTAGAACCCATGTAACTACACCATAATACTAGTCAGGGTCATGTGGTGAGAAATGTGCCNAAAAAAATTCATCCCACAATCATCAGTAAACACCAACACATCAACTGAAATAGCAGCTGAGGAACGAAGCAACATGAGTCGCGTTTCTTCTGGTTGCAGTTGCTTGTATTTGTGGAGTTCTGTAGCTCAGTGGTTAGAGCACTCGCCTCGCAAGCGAGAGACGTGGGTTTGATTCCAGGCACGGCAAAATGTTGGGCAAGTTTCCTTATTCCACAAGTCTCTATTTACCTAGCTGTAAGTGGGAACCCGGTTGTTAGTCGATTGGCAGATCGCTTTTCCAAGGGTCTGTTCCACCACCAATTAAGTGGGTAAGTGTTGTCAATGATGAATACGTGTAGGTACTGCTGACCTCAGAGAAATTACCTTTTAAAATATTTGCATTTCCAAGAATCTTCCATGAACTAATCAAAAATATACAGCACTGGAGGCCATTTGCCCTCAATGTCTATGGTGGCTCTTTTAAAGAACAATCCTTTCAGTCCCATTTACCAGCTTTCCCCATGAAGCTAAATAAATCCTATTTGGTCAGGAAAGTCCTGGTGTCTTGCAATAATCAGATGGCATCTCTAACAGTGGCAGCATTCCATAAGTACAACACTAATATGATCTTAAATTATGAGGTCGAGTCCCCGATGTGGAGCTCGAAGCCCCCAACCCACAACCTCGTGACCCAGAGGATTCCTCTAGTAGATAAGTCTCCAATTGCTACTGACAATTTTACTTCTTTTAACACTGCCAATTGGACAAAGAAGTGCAGGCAAATGAAAGAAATTGAAGACTTGTCTGACGGGATCCTCAAAGCTGAAATAGAAAAATAATAATTCTCGCAGCACCTTATCACGTCATTCAATATCTCAAAACACTTCACAGGATTTACTGTAAAATGTACGTCAGGGTTTCCACATGTCAGACACCTGGCTGACCAAAATATTTTTCCACACAGCAATGTTTCATAATCAGGTCTGAATGGATGATTTTTTCACCTGGGGATTTGTTGGCCCAGGTGCGAGAATTATTATTGTTCAAATCCAAGAATTATTAGTTTTCAACTTCAGCTTTGAGGAGAAAGTTCCTTCTCTTTCAAATAGTGCTGTGAGATTTTTAACATTCACCTGAACAGACAGGACCTCTGCCTCATCCAAAGGAATGGCACCTCCTAACAATGCAATGCTTCCCCAACCCAAAGTCCTTGTATTAGCACAGTACAGTCAAACCTAGAGAGACCTGCTTGCCTCATTCTTGGCTCCCAAGTCTTGGATGAGATCAGCTAATTATAGATTTGGTGTTTAACCTTGAGCCTCTGTTGTCTATTGATCAATAGGTCATTGATTGTGATTTACCTGCTTACAGACATATTGGGGAAATAATGGGGAATGCCATTGGGAGAGATATTAGAGAAAGAATTGGGAATATTGTTGGGATAAATATCTTCAGTGGAGCTAGCACCAGAATGGCCAAATGGCTGCTTCCTGTGCTGTAGACTTTCTACCGAATGCACATAGAGATAACAAAAGTACTTATAGTTCTGGGTCATAGCTGTATGGATCTTGTAACATACAGATTGCATGACAACCAATCTATGTATTTATATCCATAGCTTTTCATAACAGGTTAGAAGCATCTTACCCTGTGCAAATGAGGAGTGGTTTCTGTTGTCAGAAGCAATTGAAGGGCTTCCACGGACCTGCAGCTGTTTGCCTCGATGCTGGCTTTGCTCTTGGAGCTGTTTCTGTAATTTTCTCCATTTCTTTGAGCTAAAGCCACTTCGCCCATTATTGAACGTCCCATTGGAAAGTGTTTCCATAAAGCCAGACAGATTCTGGAACGCAGAGAGAGCGCCTTTCAGAGATGACATGTCTGATTTTAGATTCTCCACAGACTTTGTGAAGAGTTCTCTCCCATCTTCTAGGCTACAGTTACAACAAGCTTCGTCATTACTGCATTGGGATTCCAGTTTATTCACTTTCAAACTCAACATCTCAAAGTCTTTTTTGATAGTTGATATGCTTAATTCATATTTGTTTAAATGGTGCACCTTTTCTTCCAGTGCCTCGTGATTTGGTTCCATGTGTTCTCTGCCGTCTATATCTGATGATCTCTCCTTCACAAAGTTTTCTTGCTTTTCAGGTTGAATGAATTCACTGACGTCACCAGTCGACCTTCTAACCTCGAGGAGCTTTAGCCTCTCGTCAATGGTTTGCAACATCATTTTATGAACGGACAGTCTGTCCTCCGTTTCGTTGAGGATTTCGTACATGTCATTGATGGAGAGTTTCAGAAACTCTGGTGCATCGTCGGCTGTGATTTCCAATATGTCCTCTCCCACCAAACTCTCCAGAATGACCATGTGACGAAAAGTGTCTTCCAAAAGAGAATTAAAAGAACTATTGAGGTATTTGACATGCTTGACCATAATGGCCTCCATTTTTTTCAAGTGGCTAATCTCTCTGCCAAATACGGTGGAATGATTCTTGAGTATTGCAATGTCTTGCACAACGGCTTGAATTTCCTCTTCCTGTAGGAGCTGGAAATCCTGCATTTGTTGCCGGATTTGCTGCAAAGCTACGTACAAGTCCTGAACAGAATCATTCATATTGTTTCTTAGGTCCAACTCTTGCCGTTTAGTGGCATCAAGATCCAACTGCATCTTGTCCAAAAGATAACTGGTGTTTCTCAGGTCATCAGTAACTGTAACGCTTCTGTGAAACTGGTGACTTAGGTCTTTTACTTTATTTTCAAGATTTTGAAGAAGGTCTTCATTAATTGAAGACTGATGGGAAAAGGAAGTATTCAATCCCAAGAGGTTCTCAGTTAACCCTGCCCTGGTCTCGTTCAGTTTTTGGTTCACTTTTCTCCGCAAGCCATCCACAATTTTCGCATACCTTGCTTCCTGGGCCCTCAGGTTTTGTTGCATATCCACCATCTGTTTTGATGAGAGACCACACATTCCATTTAAGTATGTAAGGTTCCTTGAATGAACTTCCACCATTCTACTGAGCTCGTCGAAGTTGTGTTTCGAGATTGTTTTATCCGAGCTGACCTCTTCAGAGCTGCACGAAGGACACAGTTTTGGGTCATAGCCATTTGCCAAGCTTTGATTCAACTCATTTAGCTGGGCTTGCTGTCTCTCTACGCTACCCATGACATTATTCAGAAGTTGAGTATTCATCTCTATCCCACTTTTGATCATGGTTAGGTTGATGTGATTAGCAGCCTGTTGAGCATTCATTTCTTCCTGTTGGTCACTCATCATGGCCTCAAGTTTCTTCAGTTTCTCGCTATTCTCCTCAATCTTTGACTGGAACTTTTGGTTGTAATCTTCCATTTCCCTTTGAGACACCCGCTGCTTCTCGTCAATGTTCTTCCTGTTGACCTCCATGTCTTGTGACAGGTTGTGGACCATGGCGGAGAGGTCCTGCAGGCTTTTATTGAAACTTTCCCACAAGGTGTGAAAGTGCTGCCTGAGGAAGTTTTCAACATGAGGCTTTAACACATTCTGAAGCTCTGAAAGTTCTGTAAAATCAAAAGCACTGGGTGGTACAGACAGTTCGAGTTGGCCCACCGACGGAACCTCCACAAGAAGAGTTTATTTAAAAAACAACGAATTACAAGAACCAAGTACTATAGTTTTACAATAAAGGGGTCGATTGAAAGTCAGGACTTCAGGTCTTTGCAAGTCCTGCATGTGTCAGGAAGTGCTGGATAGACATTTTAATTTATTGGATTAAATTATCTAAATTAGGGTCTATTTATGCTGGGCTGATAAATGATAGTCTGCCCCACTACAACACAGGGGCTGGTTTAATAGACCCTCATTCCAGTGAGGTCCACATCTCGCCAGCAGTTTCTGAGACACGAGAGGCGGGGAGGAACTTTTGCACTTTCATACTATTCACAGGAGGCCAGTCAGCACTGACTCGGAGCTGGATGTGTATAGGTACACAATGTCCACAAGGTCCTTTTACCTTTATTTTACACAGTGCACTGACAAACAACAACTCAAACATGTGGAAGAATGATGATAATTGTATTTAGAAGTACTTAATTATACTTAGTACAAGTGTTTAACTGTATGTAGTTAAACTGCTGATGTCCAGGGGATCGCTTTGTGTGAGCGCTATCATTTCCATGACAAATTTTTGCGTGTAACATTGCTCTGTAACATGGATGAAGTGAGGAGGCGCAATGCATCTCTGACAGCTTGTTTTCAACCTCTCCGTAGTCTCATATCGCTGTCTTGTAGCAGGGGGGTAACAGGACTTCGTGGACACTGTATCTTGGTTCATATGCTCTCACTGTATATGTAAATATTTTCACATGTCAAACTTTCACAGATGGCCGTTTATTCATCTTTTCACATGGGCAAATTTTGGCGGATAGCAACCCAAGTTGAATAAAAATTGGGTCAGGACACAATTCTAAAAAAAAACGTACCTGTGAGTGCCAGAAACTCAAATTATTATCTCTGTATCCCAAAATATTATTTTCTAAAACAAAATTATCTAATTTGAATTTGACTGAATCAACACTTTTTGTTTCCACTGTCTCGCTAGGGAATCTGTTCCACAGATTGAGAGAGTAATAGGACCCAACTCCAGCTGGACCCAATTACACTGTGTTTATAAATATACTTCTGTTTATCGAAGGTCCGCAGATACAAGACTAATCTACAGAAACATTATTACACTGGGTCCTGTTACTCTCTTTAACAAAATAGATTTTGTTTTGAAAACTGCTGATTAAATTGTTACAGTACAATAAATAACCTGTAACAATTCTGCACTTGGAGACTCCATTTCTCAGCTCCCTTAAGGCAAACCGTAAAGAAGAAATTAAATACGTATTGGGAACATAAATGCAATTCACTCACTCTCTCTCTTTCGCCCTACCTGTAATGTTTCCATTCTTATCAGTCATTTTTCCTTCCAAGTTTTGCAGGATTTTCTGAATGTCCTGGATGGAGGCAGTGGCATCGGAAATGTCGTTCTGTAAATGGTGCAGCCACGATTCCTGATCCTGCACCTTGTCAAGGATCTTACTGGACTCTTCTGCAGCACAAACAGAATGTGATAGTTGTTAGATGCACCACCGCCCCTTACACCCCGTGCCAAAAAAACACAAACCCCCCATCCTCCATGTCATGAATCAACAAAAAACATGTAACACGCACCCCCCACCCCACCACCCGCTTTATGTCTCGAGCCAAAAAAACACGAAACACCCCCACCCCCCCTCCCCTTACGCCCGGAACCAAAATCTTTGGACCCGAGCTGGGAGTTGGGGTCAGGAGGGATGGAGGGCAGGGGGTGGGAGACTGGCCGAAGGCACGCTTAAAGAGGAAGGTCTTTTGACGGGACTTGAAGCAGTCAAGAGAGGGGGCGAGGCGGAGGGATTGCGGGATAGAGTTCCAGAGTGAGGGGGCAGAGATACTGCATGCCTGACTGCCGATGGTGGGGCAGGAAGTGCAGGGGCAGCTGAAGCAGGCCAGGGTCTGCCAAGCGGAAGGAGCCGACGCTGATATGGGGTTAGGAGGTCGGAGAGGTAGTGGGGAGTAAGCAGGGAGTTAGTGTAATACTCCAGCGACCAAAAGCCGCCCTGTTGGCGAGACACTCACTCACTCTCACTGGGCTCCTGCCAGCTCTCTGCTGCACGGAAATACCTTTGTTTGGAACAAAGTGATCTGACGTCACAGGTCCTTGTTTTTGTAGCCCGTTTATAGAATAGTTTTTCCTCTTTATTATTGGACAGCCAACATAAGTGGGCTGCTGCTATCTCGGCTGCTGTGGGCCATTGCTCACAACATGCAGTCTGGTATCATTCAGTGATACCAGGGCTTAAAGGGATAAATTGTGAGGACAGGTTGCATAAACTTGGTCTCTATTCCCTTGAGTCTAGAAGGTTGAGGGGTGACCTGATTGAGATTTTTAAAATAATAAATGGAATCGATAGGAAAAATACAGAGAAACTATTTCTGCTGGGAAGGGGAAATCCAGAACAATGGAGCATAACTTTAAAATTAGAGCCAGGCCATTTAGGAGTGAAATTAGGAGGCAGTTTTCCACCAAAAAGATAGTGGAAATCTGGAACTGTCTTCCCCCAAAAGACTCTGGATGCTGGATCAATTCACATTTTCACACTGAAGTGGATAGATATGTGTTAGGTCAGAGTACTAAAGGATACGGGGCAAGGACTGGTAATTGGACTTGAGGTACAGATCAGCTATGATTTTATAGAATGATGGAACAGGCTCAAGGGGCTGAATGGCCTATTCCTGTTCCTATGTTTCTATGTCCTCCCAATGTGAAAGGCACTATACAAATGTAATTTGTTGTTGTGTTGATGTAGGGTTTGAATTCACACACCTTCTGACCTTTACCGATTGAGTCAGGCTGACACAACCAAAGACACATATTCCATCACTAAAATCCAGTCCAGGTTTCTTCTAAATGAAATGCAAGCTACTTACCGAGGTTTAAGATCTCTTCAGCCATTTCAATGCTCCTGTTACTGTGCTTCACGGAGCTTGATGTGGTCATCTCAGCAGGAACTGTGAGAAACAGGAGTTCCTAGAGGTCATATAATAATATAATAATAATCCTTGCATTTTGATATAGCGCCTGATCGAGACATCTCAAAACGCCTCCCAGGAATATTCTGGAAAGTGTAGTAACTGTATTTTGTGAGCAAACACGTTCCCAGGCTTGCACAGGGATCATTGATTCCCATTTGGTGGTTCCAGGCTCTAGCGAACCACTGCCTCTGCCTAACTATTCCTGTACTTAACATACTTCGCACCAGCCTTGCTACACCTGCTCACAACTGCTGTGAACTTCAGACGACAAATATTCCAGCCTTCAAGAGTGTCTCCAGAACCTATTGCTTGTTCTGATCACTCGCATCTTGGCTCCAATCACTTGCACGTTCCTTTCGGTAACTCACAGAGACTCTCAGCATCTTCTATGATGGTGAGAGCAAAAGCTTTATAATAATAATAACCCTTGCATTTGTTATCACGTCGTAAAAATGTCTCAAAGCGCTTCACTGAATATACTGTAAAGTGGATTGACTGTGTATTATGTGGGCAAAGCACGGCAGACAATTGCACACAGCAGTATCCAACAAGACCAGTTGTGAAATGAATGACAAAGGGATTATTATTTTAAGGTATTATTACCTCCGCAAAGCGACCCATCAATCGACTAACACCCGGGTTCCTATTTACTGCTAGGTAAACAGAGGAGTGTGGAATAAGGAAACTTGCCTAAGGTTTTGCCCCGCCCAGGAATCAAACACGGGTCCTCTCACTTGCGAGGCGAGCGCGCTAATCACTATGCTACAGGACTCCACACTACTTCAGCCATGGCACATGTCTTCCTCCTGTGCCCCAATCTAACACTTTGTGTCTGTGACTGACACTTGCCATTGAATTTTGTTTCACTGAGTAAGAAGAGGTATCAATTTGGCAACAAGCTCGTACCCACCCTTCTGCTCGCAGTTGTGTCCTGTGAGTCCAAGACAACATCTCCACTCCAAGGATGTCACCAGCATCTGCTTCATCTTGTACATGGGCCTGAGAGCCAGCTGGTACCTGCAATGTGAGGTCCTCTGTTACACAATCACACAAAGTTACAACAGAAGCAACTTATTTTGCCCACCAGCTGCTGTTCTTCTCCACTTCGAGACACAATCTGCTCCCAATACTGCTCGCTCCTTACATGAAGACCCACGTGAGGATCTTGAAATTGAGACACTGTCTTTCTCTTTTCTCCCATGACACAATCTCTCCCCTTTCTCTCTCCCAGTAAGTGCTAGCTGCTGCCAACACCTCCACCACTACATGGCTCCATTGATCAGCACAGTTGGTAAAGGACAATGGCTTACTTACACTACACTCCAGCAGTCAGTTCCTGCAGGGCTCCTGTGACCTTTCAACAAACCGTTGCATCCCACAGAACACTGCAGTTGTAGTTGGACCTGATTTCACAAACGGGCACCAATTCCTGGAACAAGACACAAAAGGAAGCTCGGAATCAATCCAGGAAGATTGTTTTTGGTCAGCTGGCTTTCTGACGCATGCAGAGAGCAATGCCCGTGCTTCAGAATATCCAGAGCAAAAGAGACTTAACGCAGAACATCTCAAAGGATTCAAAAAGTGTCTGTGAAATGTAGTGACTGTATATTTGTAGACAAACACGACAGGCAATTTGTTCTTGGCAAAGTCCCACAAACAACCAGGACCATTTTTCTTTTAATTTGGGGGAATATAGGCCAAGACACCTTCTCTTTTCGAATAGTGCCACTGGATCTTTAACGTCCGCCTGAACAGGCAGATTACTGCACTGGGATGTTAGTTTGGACTGTGAACTAGGCAAATGATCTTTGATAACGATTGATCCCTATAAGTACTTTCTTCACCAGGTTCCACAAGTTTGGAGAATTACACCTCATCTTATCCTCTATGATGATCATTTGGTCCTTTAATCTAAGAATTTGTCAATATTCTGCACCATTTTTATATTCCATTGCTCTCCTATTTTTTAAGAATCGACCAAATCCAGCTTCCAAATTGGAACTGAATTAAAAAATTGTCCACAATTCTGCGGAACCTTAAATTTTAAAGCCAAAAGGACTTGCAGGTGATGGCGAGATTTTAGTGTGGATTAAAAAGGACTTTCTGTGAGAACAGCTTCGTCGCTGTTCCGGGTTTGGCCATTAGAGGGTGGTCCAATTCTCTGTGATGAACCAGATAAAGTTGACATTTTGGTGGCAGGAATGGATCAGCATTTTAGGATTGGAAACTGCTCGGCTGAGAGAAAATAAAAATCAGCCAGGAATCACATAGTCTAAGCTGATACTCCAATGCAGCACTGAGGGGTTGTTGCATTGTTGGAGGTGCCGTCCTTTGGATGAGACGATAAATACTCTCTTGCCTGTTCAAGTGGACGTGAAACATCCCATGGCGCTGTTCAAAAAGAGAAGGGAGTTTCTCCCTTCCTGGTGTCCTAGCCTCTAAATAAAATTGGTCACTCACTCCATGGCAGTTTGTGGGGCACTGCTGTGCGCGACTGGCTGCCGTGTTTTTCCCACAAAATACAGTCAATCCACTTTACTGTATATTCTGTGAAGCTCTTTGAGACGTCTCAACATGATTATGGCTCTATATCAAATGCAAGTATTATTATTATTTAAATCCCACCTTAAGACCTACCTCTTTGACTGCGCCTATCGTCACCTCCCGCTCCCCCTCGCTCAGGATCCAACCCTGTTACTGTACAGCACTCCGAGAAGCTATCGTGAAGGGCGCTGTGCAAATGCAAGTTGTATGCACTTTTGTTTTCTCCACTGTTTCCTATTTTGCCATTTTTAGATGCTTTTTCCTTAGATTCAATTTTATCCTCACCTCCTCATTCACTCATGGCATCTCATTATAATCATTGCATATGATATGTGGCGACAGATAATTATCTGTCATGAAAATGATGGCACTCACACTGATCCTCTGGACATCTGAATGCAGTTAAACACTTGTACTGAATACAATTAAGAACTTCTAAATACAATTATCATCATTCTTCCACATTTCAGATGTTGGTCAGTACAGTGTAGAAAAAACACATGCGGGTAACCGGACTTTGTGTACACCCTGAACATATTACAGGGCGAAACCTTGGGCAAGTTTCCTTACTCCACACGCCTAATAATAATCCCTCCAAAAACCAAAAACAATAATAAATTGGTCATTTTCAATCTACGACTGTTTGTGGGACATTGCTGTGCGCAATTGGCTGCCGCGTTCGCCCATAAATATACAGTCAATTCACTTTACAGTGTGTTCTGTGAAGTGCTTTGGGACGTCCTCCCGACGTGAAAAGCGCTATATCAAATGCAAGTATTATTATTATTATTATTAGCAGATGAGCACACATTACAAAGATTCTGTTCCAATCCCACCTCTGACTCCTCTTTGCCAATAATATCTGAGAACAATTGAAATCCCCCATAATCATAGCTATTATTCTTGCTTACCTTATTTATTTGCCTATATATTTCTTCGTCTGTTTATTTACCATCGGCTCCTCATAGAGTGACTAATCGTTTCTTATCTTTTATCTCTATCCAAATGGGTTCTGTCTATGCCACTTCCTTATTCATGTCACTTCCATTCAATGCTACAATGGTTTCTTATCAACACTACCACCTCGCCCTCTTTCCCTCTCTCTCTTTTCTACACATCTGATAAGGAAACTCCGAGGCTTGGGGCGACAGCTGCTGGAAGGCATAACATGGAGTCCGAACACACACACGTTCGTACATCCAGCACCTGGAATCCACCTTGATTGGTTTGCAGAGATTGACTGCTTAAACTCCGAATCTCCAATTGGGGGAACCATGGACACGAAGATGGTTAATGCTCTCACGCACTTCAGGCTGAGATGCGTTTCCCACTGGGAAACTCGCAGGGAGTTCCTGGTACTTATCATCCACCTGGTCAGGGCTCAAGCTCTCGCTTGTCGGATGTAGAACGACAAACTAATGACTATCCTCCTGGGGGAGAGCTAAGCCGGGTGTTTTTGGAGCTGAATGTCAAAATCAAGCACTCTGTGACGGTCTCAGGTGCTCGGTTCCTGAGCCAGGCGGGTCTGCAGTATTCCTGCGGTACACTGCTTCCAGTACACTGCTGATAACAGCATAACCAGCCTGGCTTATTGGCAGTACTTGGAAGGGCAGACCAGTCACTGGTGGCGAGGAGTCATGCCATTCAGCTCCTGTTAATCCTGCAAGCCAAAGCCCTAACGTGTAGGGGTGGTCCTAGCTGGACAAGCAGAAGGAAACCTTCCTAGATACCGATATCAATGACAAGCTATGTGCTTTTAGCTGATTAGACTCCAGCAGTTACCCCAAAGCACATTCTGGGGTCCCCAAGTCTAGAGTCTTGCCAATATGTGCCTAATATTTTCCAGAATTAGGTAAGCACTAAGGAGAGAGTGCGCATTTCATTGCAACAATCTATCTCTTGAAGTTCCATGTGTTGGTGGGATGCATGGAATTCTCAGTTTGGTTTGGAGACTCTTAAGCACGGTGATGGTCACCTGGTTGACCAAGAATAAATTAGTTTCAGTAATAAACCTACTGTAGTAATCAGAAATCACTTAATTGTTGTAACAGTAAGATAAATAATCAGGATTTTAAAAAGCATTTGATACAAGCCCTACAAAGTTAAAATGTTTCAAAGTGTATTGATTGTTTTGCTGCAGGTAGACACAGTAACCAGTTTGTGCAAACAGTCAGGAGGGGAATAAAAATACTCTCACTTGTGATATCGTGCTTTAGCACGTTGTCAAAACGTTTAGTGAGCTTGCCTCGCAAGCGAGAGGACCCGGGTTCAATTACCTGGGCAGGGTGAAAACTTAGATAAGTTTCCTTACTCCACAAGCCTCTGTGTACCTAGCAGTAAGTTGGAAGGCAATTGTTAGTCGAATGGAGGATCACTTTCCGGGGGTAATAATTCCTTCAAAACATTGACTGTTTGTAGGACACTGCTGTGCACAATTGGCTGCTGCATTTCACTCACAAAATCCACTTTACAATATATTTTGTGAAGCGCTTTGAGACATCTCAGCGATGTGATAAGGCGTTATATTAAAATGCAAGGATTATTATGATTAAATGTCTGAAAGTACGTACAGTACAATTTACATTTATATTATATACTAGAAAGTGTGGTGACTCTGCATTTGTAGGTGAACCAATGAGCAATTTATATGAAGAATTATTAGCCAGGACAATAGGAGAAGCTCCCCTAGCACTTTGAGGCTTGAACACACAGGTTTCTATGCCAGAGGCCAGAGTTGAAATAAAATTGAAATAAAGTTTACAAAATGGCTTGTGTTCTGAATGTATTCTCTCATTCCTTCGTTCTGTGTTGTTTTTCTCTCTATCTCCACCCTCTTCTCTGTATTCCCTCTCTGCTCTCTAGTTCCCCCTCTCTCCAGTCACCATAGCTGTTCATGCACATTTTCAATAATGTGTCATCATCTGCAAGTCTGGCGCTTTGAAAGTTTGACTCTCAAAGGGGCAATACTACTAATAATTAATAACAGTTTTATTTGATACAGCGCCTTTTACGTGGAGAGGTACTCATAGCGCTTCAGAGGATTTTACTGTAAAGTGTAGTGACTCTATTTTGTGGACAAACCTTGACAAGCATTAACTCAGTGTCAAACGAAGGCAAGAGTCACTATTCAACAATTCCAAATTTAAATACTAGGCCAAGCACCTTATTCACAGTACAATCACATTAAGATTACACTATACAGCGCTAAACAGCCTACAATGTGCTGAAAACAATAACCTGGGGCCAGCTTGTCTTTCTCATCGCACCCTCAGTTTATAATAATAATCCTTCCATTTGATATAGCTCCTTATCATGTCATTGAGACATCTCAAAGTTCTTCACAGAATATTCTGTAAAGTGAATTGTCCTGTGTATTTTGTGGACAAAACGTGCAGCCAATTGTACACTGCAGCGTTCAGCAAGCAGTTAAGTGACCATTTTTTTAAAAAGGTGTTATTACACCCAGAAAGCAATCCTCCAATCGACTGATAAGGAACTGCTTACTTCTAGGTAAACAGAGGTGTGTGGAGTAAAACTTGCCAAAGAAAACTTGCCAAAGGTTTTGCCTCGCCAATTTCAAAGATTAAGATAAAGAAAATCTCAGTGAGTCTCAAGAGGATGTTTGTTCACTTACCTGTTGTCTCGTGAGGGTATGGAGGGCCGTGTGATGCCAGCCAGCGTGGTCAGTCTCCGAGATGAATCGGACTTGGTGGTCCGGATATAGGAAAATGGCTTGTTGGTGCCTTGGACCAGCTCGTACCCCCACCCGTCCACCTCCGTGCT